AGGTACACCCCCCACGCTGCGCTAGACACCCGCGGCCCCCGTGGGCTCGTAGCCCGTGAGGTCGGCTGAAATAACCCCGCCCACGGTTTTGGTCGGGATACCGGCCCGAGGAGGACCTGGTCGTCTCGCTGAAGGCGTTTCCCCATCTGTCCTGCTTCCACTTAGTTCTTTGCCCGCGCCGAGTGCGGGCCGCGGTGCAGAGGGCGCTGGTCCGGCCGCCACTCGCGCTCCACCACTTGAAGTCCAGCTGTGTGCGAGTGGCTTCCCCCCCTCGTCGCCGTTGGGGTTGATCATCTCTGAGTTAGACTCCCACGGCCTCGTGGGTTGTAGCCCGTGCGGTCGGATGAGATAACCCACCCCACGGTGTTGGCACCGTTGACGGCCCGCGGAGGTCCGGGTCGACTGGCTGAAGGCGTCGCCCCATCGGCCCCTGCATACAGTGGATGGCTCTGGCCACGGATTGTGCCACCTCCCGGGGTCGAGGGGCACTTCACTGCACTTTGGTGCCCGCGGCATCCCGTGGGTTCCTTGCCTGCGGGCGGCTGAAATAACCCCACCCAGGCCTTTGCCCGTGTGAGTCCGGGCCATGGTGCTGAGTCAACTGGCTGAAGGCCCCTCATCGCTCCACCTTTTGAAGTCTCTCTCGGTGGTGGATATGCATTGGGTGCTACGTGAGTGAGTCCGCCGCTCTAGGCCTTCTGCGCTCCGTGGCTGCTTGGGCACAGGCTCTGCGCTCGTTTTCGCCTGTTTGCGAGTGCGGTACCTTCTGGTGCCTTGGCTCACTGGCATCTGCCCAGGGTCCTTGCTCGTACCTCGCCACCTGGGTCTCCGCTCTCTCTCTTTCTCTCTCTCTCTCTCTCTCTCTCTCTTTTTTTTTTCTCTCTCTCTCTCTCTCTCTCTCTCTCTCTCTCTCTCTCTCTCTCTCTCTCTCTCTCTCTCTCTCTAGCACGTGGCTCGCGCGAACTAAAGGAGCAGCCAAATGCACTGCCTGGCAGCTGGCGCTCCTCCTGAACTACCTGTCGGGCGGGGACCACACCCAACAGCGACGATCCCGATCAAACACGTCGGCAGACCCCAGCCCCATGTGCCGCTACTGTGACGAGGAAGAGGAAACTCAGGAGCACACTGTCCGCGACTGTAAGTGCTGGGCCCGAGAAAGACTCCCTCTCACCACCCTCATCAGTGACGACCAGTGGGCCCGTCTTCCGCCGCACACAAGACACTGCGGGCTCTTCGACGAAGACCCAGCCCTCCTCGACCTGCAGGCCGACCTCGCGAGGGACCCGCTGCCACAGCCCACCCCCTGATGGTGATCCTGCGGCTTCAGCCCAGGACACCTACACCACCTACCTTGACTACGACACTGGTTGGACATGGGTCTATGCTGCCACGGACGGTGCGTGTACCAACCAAGCCATCCCATTGCTAGCACGAGCGGGTTACGGCGTCTACTACGGCATCGATCACCGCATGAATTACAGTGCACGCGTTCACGGCCTAACGCAGAACGCCCAGGTTGCGGAGACCCTCGCCATTGTCCACCTTACGGCATGTGCCGAACGGCCCGTGCACGTTTTCGTGGACAACCAGGCGGTGGTCGATGGGTTCCAAAGCATCATCGACGGACATCCAGCGCCGCAGGGCACGCACGCGGAGCTCTGGGAAAAGATCCACCGATGTGTTATGGCCAAGCCCAACATGTTTCGCGTCGAAAAAATCGCCAGCCACCTGGGAGACCTGGGCATCGACCTTGGGCTCATCGGGCCCATCGCGGAGGAGTTCAACCGTCAGGCCGACGCCCTTGCCACAGCGGCGGCACGCACGCACAACCTCCCCGACGACATTGTTGAAGCTGCCAAAACACGACATCGCCAAGCGACCGTGCTTCATGGGGTCGCTGTCGCTATCTACGAGCGCAGACACCGTACTCTGCCGCTCCCACACCGCAGGGCTGGGTTTACAGCAGCGGAACTCAGCAAAATGGAACCGAACCCCCTGCTGTCGGACCAGGCACCACCCGCGGCTGGACCATACATCCCGCAGAACCCGGATGAGCTCTGGGCCGAGGCCCAACGGGCGATGCTCGACGAACAGGAGGACGACCCGTTCGGCTTCGGCGGGGGATTAGACTTCTTGGACGACGGCCCAGCCAGCGCCAACCCTGCCCCGTCGGGCAGCCTCTCGACGCCCACCTCGACTCCGCCACCGAGAGCGACATCGCACCCACATGATGACGTCGCTCACCGTCAAGACGCCGACGAGGACCTTTATGATCCCCTCGGATTGAGTGGCAGCATAGACGACGCCCCGCCGACACCCCACGCTGCCGACGATGCCGCTCCATCGAGACGCCACCCGACCACGCGGCCGACCTCCGAGCCCCCGCACGGCATCATGATTGGTCCCCCCGTGCCACCCACCCCGTCCCCCCACCAGCGCCAGCCCGCGGGGGCGGCTCCAGCCCCCCCGCAGGGCACTGAGCCAGTCAGGCCGTCGCACCCCGTCCACGCTTTTACTGTTGCTGGGTGCGAGGCTGCGGCTCCTCCGTCCTCACGGGGCGTGGCCCTAGCGGCTTCAGCCCTGGGACCGCGTGTTACCCTCCAGTCGCCTCTCAAGGGCGACGGCCGCCAGCACACGGATCGCCGCACCGCGCTGGTCCACCACCTGGCCAGGCGCACCGATGACCTCGTCCCTGCCACGAGGCCCGCGGCCGCAGGCACAGAGCAGCCGCCCCTCACCGACCGCGAAGCCGAGCTGTCCCAGTCTATGGCCGCTCTTCAGCAGAGGTGCGCTGCTCTCGCCGCCGACCTTGCCGCTGCTCAAGCCCGTCAAGGCCCCCTGCTCCAGCGCCTCCACCGCGCCGGGCGTGCCTTCGCCGAGCTGCTTACACCCTCGCCCGATGGTGCTGCGCCGCCACTCACCCTCCATGCTATGCTGTCATCGCTCCGCGGCGCTCCGCCTGGAGCCCCGCGCTAATCTCCGCCATTCTGCCTGCCCGTGTGCACGCGTGGCCCCGCGTCCACGGTGTCAGGGCGTGGGGGCGGGGGGTGCCCCGTCCCTGCGCGCCGCGTTGCGGCCAAGCGCCCAACTGGCGGTCTGCCAAGCCGCCTAGCCACGTGTCAGCACGTCGCCTTTCTTGTTGGGGCCTTCTTCGTCACGCGGTCTGACACGTGAGATCTTCACCGTCTGTCCGCCGTCTGTAGCGTCAGTCGCATTGCGCCGGGGGAGGGGGTTTGTTGCCCGCCCTCGTTTCTCAAGGCTGCACCGCCGCAAATAGTGTTTGGCGAGTTGTCGCACCGCAGTGCGCCTCGCGGACGGACCCTGGTCCGCCTACTTGTCCGGTCTCTCTCTCTCTCTCTCTCTCTCTCTCTCTCTCTCTCTCTCTCTCTCTCTCTCTCTCTCTCTTTTGGCCGCTGGTCAGGTTCCCCACCTGCGGGTATGGCTTGTGTTCGCTGGTTGTCCACCTGTGGCAGCTTCTCTTCCGCTGGCGTCCGTTCAGTGTTTTTGCTGGCTAATTTTCTGGCATCGTCTTTTGCAGTCGCTTCAGCGGCCTACGTGCCGCTGCAGCCAATTTTCTTTTAAATTAAGCTGTGCTGGGGACCCTAAGTGCCAGAGCTTGGGGGCAGACGGCAGCGGCCGAGAGGCCTGGCGAATAAAAAGTCCATGGCGCACCGAGCATGAATATCCGACACAGCAACAGCAGATGAGAGCGACCACATTACAAGCAACGAGCGAAAGTGAGGGGTCAACGCCCCAAGTAAAGTTCAGAGCACTCGCCAACATCATGCAGACACCAGCCCTCCACACGGAGGGCCCACAGGTACCTGACCTTCATGGGCCCCCAGGGGCCGATCAAGCACAACAAATTGAGAGTGCGAACCCCTCCACACAGGGAGGGGGGGGTCGGGGCCGAAACTTGAGCGGCGGCGAAGCCGAGGAGGACAAGGACGAGGACGAGGACAAGAGGGAGAGGGACGGCACAAGAGGGGGAGCACTAGCAATGTAAAAGTGCGTTTAGTAAAACATGTATTTAAATTGAGCTGTGCTGGGGACCCTAAGTGCCAGAGCTTGGGGGCAGACGGCAGCGGCCGAGAGGCCTGGCGAATAAAAAGTCCATGGCACACCGAGCATGAATATCCGACACAGCAACAGCAGATGAGAGCGACCACATTACAAGCAACGGGCGAAAGTGAGGGGTCAACGCCCCAAGTAAAGTTCAGAGCACTCGCCAACATCATGCAGAAACCAGCCCTCCACACGGAGGGCCCACAGGTACCTGACCTTCATGGGCCCCCAGGGGCCGATCAAGCACAACAAATTGAGAGTGCGAACCCCGCAAAGGCCAAAAAGCCCCTTCTGGCCGAAGGCCCTGCATTCAGGATTTTTGAAACAAGCACCGCAGGCAGAGGGAGGGAGGGCGGGAAAAGAAGAATACAGGTATTATACTCAAAAAATCACCCCCCCATCTTTGGCACAGATCCCCAGATTAATTGCAAGCTCAAAGAAAACGCACTTCGAAATCCAAACTCTTACATAGATGTGAAGAGAGAGGAGATGCGGCTAGGTGGGGCCACGGCATCGAAACAGGGCCTTGCCCCCTGTTCTCGGGCGCCCCACCTCGGGCCGCGCCTGCAGCGACGCACAGCCGAGGTCGAGGCTGTCATTCGAAAGCTGCGAGAGAGCCGCAATCAAGCAAACGGTGAGCGGCCTACGTGCCGCCCTGGACTTCCCCCAGATCATTGGCCATCGCCAAGCCTGGGGCCTGCCAAAAACGTTCGCCCTTCACGATCTGATCCTTCTGGAGGAGGGAGCGCCGCCGTATCAAGACGTGCGTCCTCGTGTAGCGCTGCCAGGCGCTCGAAGTAGTCCAGCGCCCCCTCCTCCTTGCAATCTCCAATTCTCCTCCATTCGCCACATGCTGAGCAGCACCCGCGTGTCGGATGCCACGAGGTGGGCCAAGGGCCTCAAGGCCCAACCTCTGGAGAGACGACTGCCAACACCTGCGATACTTGTCGGGGGTGATCGGGAAGACGAGCTCATCATCTGCGAGATCCTCGGCGAGGGTGAGCAGCACGCACTTCGTCAGCTCCATCAGTACCTCCACTCCCTGCCCCCGAGCCCGTCTTGACCTTCTCCCCTCTCGCTCGATCTCCTAGCAATAATGCCATACGCCCTTGCGCATCCACCGAGATGCTGCCTTTCCGTAGTTGAGCCCAGTCCTGCTCACGTAGCCAGCCGTCGAGCTGCACCGCGACCGCGCACGCCTCATGGACACACCCGGCGTGGCACAGGTCCAGGATGATGAGAGTCAGCGCTGCACCCGCTCCGTGTAGGCCGCCCAAGATAACCAGCAGCCAGCTCCAGGACGGCCTGGGTCCAACGCCCCGATTCGCCGCCAGCGTCTCCAGGGTCCAGTAGAGCTCCTCGTAGTCGACGTCCTCGTACTCCACCAACTCGTCGGCGCGGTGACCACTCACCATGTCGACGTGGTAGGCCCCGTCGTACTCGCAGTAGCGCAGGGTCTTGCAAGCATGGCGCGGACGACCTTCGGCGTGTGTCTCCACTTGTGCTCCTCCTTCGTCGCCTCGGCCGCCCCGATGTCCAAAGCTCTGTTTGGACCATCTGCTACATTGTCCTCCGACGCTACCCACCTCAAATACAGCTTGATACCGAAAACGAGGACCACAGCAGAAGCCTGTCGAGCCAAGTGCAGCAAGCCCGTCGCCGACGAGCGCCCCTTGGTAAGGACGCCCATCGCCACCAGGGAGTCCGAGAACACCAGCACGCGCTTGCCCCACATGTTCCGTGTGCGCGACATATGTCGCAGTAGGGACACAATCGTACGTAACTCCAGGATACTGTTGTGCTCCTCTCGCTGCCACAATCCTTTGAAGAGTAAAGACCAGCGATCCACCCCCGTCCAGATCCTCGCGGCAGGTAGAGCCTGTCCACGCCTCTTGACCACCCTGAGGATGCCACCCTCCAGCCTCGCCTGGGCCCCCGCAAAGACCATGTCCCAGCGCGGCTCGATCTTCAGCACCTGCTCGCAGTAGGTAGTCCTCCACTTCGAGTCGTACCTGAACTCCGTCGCCTCCACCTGCACTGCTTTGCGATCCTGCTCGCACTGCAGGGCCCCGAAGCGCCCGTCGTTCGTAACCATCGTCAGGCACCCAGTCTCCGTGGCCGTCCGAAAAGTGAAGACGTCCTCGAGCCTGGTGAGATCCTCCCAGAGCACCTCGACCTCCGCCTCCGCCGTCATCACCGCCGTGAAGATCAGCCCCTCCCTGTGGAAGAGCTTGGCGACCTCGAAGGCGATCAGCTGCTCCAAGGGCGACCTGGAGGGAGCCAGATGTGTACACCACCACCACCGTCGACGTACTCGCCCAAACAGAAGCTCCAGCTCCCTCGGCTCCGTCAGCTCGTAGGAGGGGCCCCTCAGGAGGTCCGACGCCTCGCGCCAGGACTTGGTGCGACTCGCCACGTCGTCGCTGATCTTCTCGACCCCACTCGCCAGCTCCTGGAAACCAGGCCGTCCCGCTGGTGGCCCCACCATCTCGTCGTCCTCCTCGCCCTCGCGCGCGACCTCCTCCTCCACCGCTGTGAAGGCCTCGTCGGCCCTGACGGTCCAGGTCTGGAGGTCGCCCTTCGCCACCTCCATCCTGCACTCCGTCGCGGTGACCTCGGTCACGACCGCCCCGTGCCCGAACTCCGAGGCGTCCGTCATGTAAGCCCTCGTGGCCCAGTCCGCCTCCAAGTCCGACGTAAAGTACACCGAGAGGCTGGCCAACGCCACGAGCTCCGAGACCACATCCGTCGTGAGGGGCAGCACCTCCTCCCAATAGTCGCCGTGCTCGTTGATCCACTTGTAGATCGCGTCCAGAATGGCAAACCCCGAGCGGCAAATCATAAGGGCCCAGGTCCACATGCCCAGCAAAGACGAGAGCCTCGCAGGAGAGACGTAGGGCTTCACCGCCAAGGCTTCCGTTGCCAGTACCAGCTCCTTCAGTTTGTCGGGATGGATCGTCACCTGGCACGGCCGCCCTCTCACCGTGATCCCGAGGCCGCGCTGCAGCCCAGGGCCCCACTCCTCCTTGTGCACGTCGAGCCCCTTGTCCACCAACACCTTCTTCACCACCTCCTTGTCCACCTCGATATCGCCCTCGAGCGGGTCGAGGAGCCTGAAGCCGATGTAGTCGTCGATGTACAGCATCAGAATCAGCTGACACGTCTCGAAGGATGGGGTCGGCCTCCCATAGGCCAGCTCCCCCAGGTCGTACCCTTTCACCTCCTTGATCGAACCGGTGAGGCACGAATGAGCCAGGAAGACGGCCCACGAATGCCCCATCACGGGGGCGATAGCCCCCACCCCCCGATCTCCTTCGCCTGGCCTGGGTATGTCCTTCCCTTGTCCCTTCGCATACTCCCACAGCTCGCTCGGTGACACGTCTTCCAGCACACAATACTGAGCTAGCGACCTCGTCCACCTTAAACGGTAGAACCAGTCTGGGATGTCCCCCGCGAACGAGAACAACTCCCTCTCCCCCAACACCTCGGGCGACAGATCCAGAGAACTCAGAGCACTCGGTGATCCCAGTCCCGTCCATGGTGGTCTCCCGAACCTCAGATTCAGACGCCGACAGTCCCACGCCAGCCTGGAGGACTTGATGTCCGTCATGCTGCCCTCCTCCAAGGACTTCACCACCGTAAAGACCCCCACGTGCTCCTTCACCTTGTCGACGTAACTCAACATACCAGCCTCCCACATCCTGAGCGTCAGGGCCAGCCGATTCGACCTGATCCTCCACCCAGGGTCGCTGTAGCTCTTGGTCTGCTGGTACCTCACCCAATCCACCTCGTCGTCGTCCCTCAGCATGAGCCCCTCCACGTTCTCCAGGTAGGGCCGTGCCGCAGGCGAAAGCCGCACAACGTCGAGGCCCTTCGTCCCGACCTTCGGCACCGAGACCTGCTCCGCGATCAGGTCGCACATGTCCCCCTTCTTCATGACACCTGTCCTCGTCGTCGTCCTCTCCGACCCCCCGTAGCCCATCAACTGCCCCTTCCCAAGACGGCTGAGAACCGCCCTGCCATCGTTGATGCCTCCCCAGCTGGCGCGCTCCGCCAGCAGCTCCCAGAGCCTGTTGATCAGCGTCCTCTGCAGTAGCGTAGCCGACGTCCACGTCCTCTTGCAAGGGCGTGCACGCAACTCCTCCACCACACGGGTATGCCCACAAGCCAAGCACCGAATCGACGCGATAGCTCGTGAAAGCCTCCTCCACGTCACCCTCAGCTCCCCCTCGGACAGCTTCGTGCCCAGGGACCCCACCGCCCCAAACGGTGGGAAGGGAAGGTCGCGAAGAGGATCCCGCTGACGCCCATCTTCTCCTGCCCCAGGAAACAGAGGACACCTGGACACCATGTTCCCGATGAGAGATACTCGGCTGCTCGTACGCCCCCTCCCTGAAGTACAGGTGCCCTCGCAGGGCCAGGGAGAGGGTGCTGAATAACACCAAGCCCGAGCGCCTACCAACGAAGTCCTTCCCACTCGTAGTCGACCAACCTTCACTGACCCCACGGAAGAGGAAGCTACTCGGACTTGCGCCCTTGGCGCCGGCTTGGCAAGGAGGTGCCGCTACCTTCCCTGCCGCAACCTATTCGTCCGCGTGCGAGTGGCCCGACGCACCCCCACCGAGAGAGAGGTGCTTGTTGATGGCAGCCTTCTTCTTCAAACGTTCTGCAACCTCCTCATCAGCAGCCATTACGTCGGGCGTATTCGACTTGGCCAGATCAAGATACTCCTCAGCGTAGCCCCAGTTGACCTTGCTCTTCCACTTCGAACCGTTGGCCGACTTGGGGCGCCTCCAGTCCGACTCCACCTCCACGTTCTCGTAGGCCTTGAAGATCGAGTAGATGCGCAGGCATGTCAGCTCGGCGGCCTGGGAGTTGATCAAAGTGTCAAACTCCCCGCACATCATCATCTTGTCCAGGACGGCCGCCAGCATGAAGATCTCCGAGGCTATGGAGCACTTCGTGAGCTCCTTGGACCGCAGCCAGTCCTCCAGCTCGGCCCTCGCCCCTCTCCCGCTCTTATACAAGCGGGCCAGGACGGTAGGGGCCACCCTGGCGCGAACCCCTCCGACTCGAGCACCTCCCACATCACGGTAGGACTTCAACGTAGCCAACAGCCCGTCCTTGGGGTTACGCGCCTCGATCTCCAGCTGTGCCACGGCCTCTCCGACACTGGACGCGCCTGGCGAAGACACCTTCTGCCAGCTCGTAGGAGACCCCGACGTCGGCGTAGTCGGACCTGGAGAACCCTTCGTACCCGCCGCTGAGTCCACCTTCACCGTCTCCTCATGCTCCTGAAGCTTCCGTAGGAAGTCGCCCACCTGCGCGTCGGAGGGCTTCCCCTGGGCCTCACTCTCGTCTCCGTCACTGTCGAAGCTGAGGCGCTTCCGAGGACCCCCCGACGCTGGCACACCTTCACCCTTGCCCCTCTGGCCCAGTAGGTCGGCCAGCGCGGCGACAGAAGCCTGTAGCGTGTTCTGCCCTCTTGCCAGCTCCGCGAACAAGTGCCGTGAGTCGGGCTCGTCGTCCGAGTCCGCCACCGTCGTTCCCACCATGACCTCTGAGTCGGAGGCCTCGCTCTCGCTGTCGCTCTCGCACACCTTCCACAGTCGCCCCAGGCCTGCCCCGCTGCTGATCACCAAGTACCCTAGGTAGAGTGCCGCGATGCCGACTCCGAGCGCCATCCCGACCTGCTCGAGCTCTCCCGATTCGTACATCTCCTCGGCCTTCTCATACCATTCATGAGCTCCCTCAGCAACCTCACCCGCGGCCAACACGGATTCGTAGACGGTCTGGAGGACAGAACCGAGCCCCAGCACCCTCCAGGCCCGCCATCCCAGGAAACACATTGCCAGGGAGCCACCCGCCGACCGTCGTAACCAGAGGAAACTCACGGCGTTCATCACCCCGCCCTGAACCCAACTGAACAGGTCACTCTTCTTGCTCGGCTTGCGCTTCTTCTGCTGCTTCCCCTTGGCGGGGATGGCGGTCTTCGCGTCCTCGGCCTCCAGCTCGCGTCTGGCTATGAGCCTCTCGGAGGCCGCGAGCACTCGGTCCCTGCTCGCGGCGCTGAGCCCTGGGTGCTCTGTCCATGTCAGATCCTTCACAGGCTTGGTAAAGACTCTCTCCTTGTCACGCACGTTGATGACTTGGACCCTCAAGGATGGGCCACACGCTGTCCACGTCGTGCTGTTGGACTTGCCGATCCGTGACACCAACAGCATCACCACGCCCTGCGAGGAGCCCGTCTTGTAGCAGACCCGATTCCACCTGCTCCACGGCGCCATGAGGACGGATGCCTTGCTGCCGTGTGCGAGAATGTCACCTGCCGACTCGTAGTCCTGCTCCTCGGGTGGGTCGAACTCTTCGGCTGCCGCCCACAGCGGACGGCCCTCGTCTGCGATGTCACCCGCGTTCCACCCGAGGAGCGCGGCCACGCCGTACCACCACCACTTCGCGGCGATTGCCCAAGCCTGCGAGAGGGGCTGTCCTCTCGCTCTGCGGTGCCAAAAATCCTGCAGGCTCGTAGATCTCGCTGGAAATCCTCGAGCCGAAACTTGAGCGGCGGCGAAGCCGAGGAGGACAAGGACGAGGGCGAGGACAAGAGGGAGAGGGACGGCACAAGAGGGGGAGCACTAGCAATGTAAAAGTGCGTTTAGTAAAACATGTACGCTCTGCGCCCCAGAACGTTAGCCCCGCTCGCTGGATCTGTCCTTCGAGCCGCCGAACAAAAAAAGTATCCCCACCAGCTGTGCACTCCGGCGTTGGCTTTTGGCCCGCTGGCAATTATCTTGCGTGCTGTTCCATGCTCGATACGACCCGCTCTCTGGAATCGCCCTTGGAGCCGCAGATGAAAAAGTACCCCCACCAGCCCATCCAGAAACGATGTCCAGGCAAGTGGAAGAGATCAGGGAAGCGGGGGGGCAACGAGAGGGACAGCCGATCCGTGCAAAGGATGATGGGGGAAGAGGAGGCCAGATGGATAGATGAGGGAGGGGTGAGGAGAATGATGGCGCTGGGTGGATGGTTGAATGCAGCTCGGATGCCTATTGGAAGCCTTTTGGAAGCCTCTTCGGGCGTCTCGGGGGTCTCTTGGCGGTCAATGGGGGCTCTTGGGCGTCTTGGGTGCTCCGGGGGGGGGGCTCTGGAGGCCGCTTGGGATCCTCTTGGGGGGCTCTTGGGGGCCTGTCTTGGGGCCTCTTGGGGGTCTCTTGGAGCTTCGTGGCGGTCTCTTGGAGCTTCTTGGAGGCCTCTTGGATCCATCCTGGGAGCCTCTTGGAGCCTCTTGGGGGCTTCTTGGGGCCTCGTGGCGGCCTCTTGGGGCCTCTTGGAGTCCTCTTGGAAGCCTCTTGGGGCCTCCTGGGCGCCCTTTGGGGCCATTTTGGAAGCTATCGATCAAAGAAGAGGGTGGGGTTAATTCGCCCTGCCCCCCCCGAGAGGCCAAAATGGTGCCAAAACCATAGTAAATCCGATGATTGCGGCTTCCTCGCCGAGGCCGTTTTGGACACTCCCCCGCCCAGGCCAATGGAAATTTGATTAGGGGGAGGGGTAAACCCCTCCCCAAGGGGAAGAAGGAGGGGTGGCAGAGGAACTTCCCGGAACCACCTACGCCCAGAGGGCTGGTGGGATTTCCCAGCCGCCCTGGGCCAGGCGCCCGCGACGGCTAAACTGCTTATTTCATACAGTTCTTTGCCCATTAACTCTTCGCAGTGGTTTCGCTGGGCGGGCCGGGCGCTCGCACGAACGCCGCTGGCCGCGGGGCGTCTTGGCGCCGCCTGCAGTGCATCGTGAATGGCGATCTTAGCAAGGGTACGCGCATCCACGTGCAAATGGCCCCGTTCGCCATCGACGTACTGACCCGGAGTCGTTGGCGCGGGCGTGCGGAGACCGTCGTTTTCATTGCTTGGCGCGCAGCGATGCAACGACAAGGCGTGCGTTTGCTGGCTGTCCGACAGTGGCGTTCTCCTGTCAGAAGGAATGAGCGGTGCCATCGCCTTTCTATATTCCCCGCTATGTCGCCTGCCAGACAACGGGCCAATCTTGGGGGAGTTTGATTCCGTTGGAAACACTTGACCCAGTAGCGGACTAGAAATGTCCCTTCCACCGTCATGACTGACAACCGTGAGCTTCTAGCAGAGCCAAAGAGAGGGTGGACAACGCACAACCACTCATGCGATTACCGCTGAAGAAGGCAGTCGCCCCCCAGGCCGACAAGCCGCGGCGGCGGCGAAGCCTGCGCGGGAAAGCGCCCGATCAATAGACTGGCGACGACAATTTGTTCCGACGCCTCAAGGGCTGTCCCCGCGCGTCGCCAATTTGGCGCCCGAGGGCGTCCAGAACTTGGCCGACGCGCAGCGCCGCCGCGACCCGCGGGCCGCGTCAGCTGGCGCTTTGGCGGCAGGCGCCCAGAAGCAGCAGCAGCCGCGACGGGGGAACCTGCCTGCGTCGCCTCCGCCACGTGCGTTTGCACCGCGGCCTCCTTCGGTAGTGGCATCTGTTCGGCTTCAGCCGCAGGGCAGCGGCCGGGCGATCGGCGCGCGCGCGCGCCCCAGTCGGGGGGTGATTTGGCCACGAGGCTCGCGGAGCTGTTCGACAGGGCGCCGGCGACCATTCCTCCCGCGCCGAGTCAGCGCGGAAAACGTGAAACTTAAACGCGATTCCGGGGTGGAAGCACTGGGGCGTCAGTTGCGCGACGGAGCGGCGGCCGCAATTGAGTCGATGCGGCGCTTGCAGCAGCGCCTCAGTCAGGGCGCAGGCTCGGTGCCACCTTGGATCTGGGCCCCAGGCCCGAGGCGCGCGGCGGGCCCGTGCGCGCAGGGCCGGCTCTTCGCCCCAGTCTTCATGGAACGCCCGATTCTGGTCGCGACGCCGCCGCGCGCGCCGAGGCGCGCGGGCGGCGCGAAGAACGGCGGGGGCGGGCGGCCCACAATCCACGCGCGCGCCCGACTGTCGAGCAGGACTTGCGTTAGGCATGGTTCTGCGCAGCGACCCGAGCATGATGCCCATGTGGTATTCGAGCATGCGCCGGAGCAGGCGGGTGCACCAGCGCAGACACTCGCCGCCGATGTGGACGCAAGTGGGCGCCAGATGCTGGCATATATCCGCGGTCTGTGCCGGGCGCAGCAGGCTTGCACGCGGCGCAACAGGGCCGCCCGCCGATGGCGCGAGGTAAACCGTCAGCGATCGGCCAACCCGGACCCAAAGGACAACGGACATGGCGGCAGGGGAACCTGCCTATTACCAGCAGCCTAGCTGCGAGTCGTGCTCCCTGGTTGCCTGCGGCGCAGCGGCCCGCCTGAACTTGATGCAGTTGGGCTATCGATGGCAAGGAAAGGTTGCGCCCACTGCCGGGAACGCAGAGCTTTGAAAGACCCCGCAAATCAACCGTCCCACCGGGTAGCCTGCCAGGTAAGTTCAACGAGGAAAGTGGGCGCGGTCCGGCGTTCGACTGGGGCGCCAAGCACATGACATTTCACGTCGTTGGTCGTTGTGTTCGATTGGGTGCAGGAGTTGAATTTTATCATTCAGAACGCCATGCGGTCATCGATGCTGTCCGCTGAAGATGGCAACTGCCGCGCGGCCCTTGCAGCATACTCTACGCAGACGGCGCGGGTGGTCTAAATGTCGGAAAGAACGTGTTCTACCGCTGCTGGCGGAAAACCGGTGGGGGGGCCACGTGCCGGTTCGACCCCCCCCCCTCCCCTCTTCCGGAAAACCGGAGGGGGGGTCGCCGCCGGTTCGACCCCCCCCCCTCCGCCCCCCTCCGCAGCTCATCATGAAAAGGGGGAGGGGGGGGTCACGGGGGGGTCACTGCCGGTTCGAACCCCGCCCTCCTCCCCCCCTTCGAACTCGAAAACCGGGGGGGGGTCACTGCCGGCCCGACCCCCCCCCCTTCCCCTCGAAAACCGAGGGGGGGTGCAGACAGTGGTGGGGGCGATGGTGGCGGGGGCAGCGGCGAGGGGACAGCGGGGCAGTGGCGGGGGCAGTGGGACAGTGGTGGAGACGGTAGCGGAGGGGACAATGGTGAGGACAACGGTGGGAACAGCGGGGACAGTGGCACAGTGGTGGGGACGGTGGTGGTGGGGACAGCGGTGCGGGGACAGCTCAGTGACAATGTGGCGGAAACAGTAGGACACTGGAGGGTACAGCAGTGGTGGGGGCAGTGGTGAAGGCGGTGGCAAGGGCGGCGGTGGGGCAATGCGACAGAGGTACAGTGGGGGCAGCGGTGGGGACAGCGGGGACAATGGTGGGAAGAGTGGGACAGCTCAGTGGGGCAGCGGAGGAGTCAGTGGGACAGTGGGGACAGTGGGGATAGTCGGGCAGTGGTTGGGGCCGTGGAGAAAGTTGGGAGAGCGGAACCGCGGTGGCAACAGTGGTGGGGGCAGTGGGGACAGTGCGACAGTGGTGGTGGCATTGGTGGGGACAGTAGGGGCGGTGGTGGACCCAGCGGGGGCAGTGGTGGTGAGTGGGTGCTGGGGGAACAACAGTGGGGGATGTGTGGTGAGGGCGGTGGTAGGGGCCGGGGAGTCGTTTGCTGGCGGTGAGAGGAGGGGGCGGGGAGGGGTTCGAAACGGTTGTGACCCCCCCTTTGGTTTTCGAGGGGGGGGGGGGGGTCGAACCGGCAGCGCCACCCCCCCCTCCCCATCTTTTCTTCGGCTTCGAGGGGGGGGGTGGTAGGGGGGGGGGGGGGGCAATTATTTTAGATCTGAGGTAGGACAGGTACAGTATCTGGTCTTATCAGAGTATCGTGTGCTGGCTTGGCTTTACCTAGCTGGTTTATACATCTGCAATTGTACCCGGGCTCAAGCTCTTTGAAAACAGAGCGATCTCCGCTCTGGTAGCGGAGCCGCCCATCGGGCGGCGCGCGCGGCCCCGCCCCGCCAGGCCGCGAGCCGCGATATCATACTTCATGGACAGTTCTACCGACCAGGTGAGCAGCGCTACCGACCAGGTGAGCAGCGCTACCGACAGGGTGAGCGACATTGCCGACGAGATCGGCACAGCGATCCACAGGGTCAGCATTCACCTCATAGAGGGCATCTGCATTATCTATTTCATTGGCTCCACGGCTTGGTGGGACTTCCCATCTTAGTGGTACTGGGGGCTACCCTTGGGACGAGAGCATCATACCAGGTAAAGTGCACGTACTCCCAGATCCAGAACACAGACGGTAAATCTTACAGACGCCCGATTGAGAATCAACAAGTCAGAATGGACGATTCGAGACCACAGTCGTTGCCACTAGAGGAGAGCACGAGACAAGTACCACCCGGCTGGAAGCCAGGAGTAGCTCGATATGGCATCAAGAGATACCTACAGAAGTTATCACTATGGTGGAGGACAAAGAACATCGACGACGACAGCGTGGCGGCACTCTTGGTACTGCTGCGCCTCCAAGGAGGCGCATACAAACAGGCATTGAGATTCAAGGTCGAGAGAGATGGTCAGGAGTTTATTGGAGAGAACGCCTTTGCATTAGTACGGACTGAAGCAGATCCAGCGCATGGGTCCTTGGCTCAACCTTCGGGCCTGTCATTATTTACCCGGTGGTTGGAAACGGAATATGGATTGCATGATCAAGACGCGGTAGGAGTGGCACTCGACAAATTCTTTTCATTCAAGAGAGGTCCGAGAGATCTCGGACAGCACATTTCAGATTTTGAGCTAGTATATGACGAAGCGGTAGACCAAGCCTGACTCAACACCAACGCGGTTGGCAAGAGCTATTTGTTATTTAAGGGATGCGATTTATCGGCCAAACGCATCGATGCCATCAAGCTCAATATCGACGGCGACCTTCGCAGATACAGCGACATCAAAGCGATCGTGACACGTCTCGCCAAACAGTCACTGGCCCAGAACAATCCTGAACAATACGAAGGCTATTGGATCGACTCGGAAGATTAAGAATATTGGGACTACTATGGATATTACGACGACTACGGCCAGTGGCATGATTATGACGACGACGAGGATTGGTGGGATTATTCACATGATCAAGATTACAACGAGAACAGCTACTCACCACCGGCATTGACAGAGGACGAAGCGTACAGAGGATCCGGCAAGGGCAAGAAAAACAATCCAGGTAATTGCAGTAAGTGTGGATCACTATGGCACAAGACTGAGGGCTGCCCAGCCGGCTCCACGGAGAAGACGAACGGCAACAGCGACAATGTCGGCAAAGGTAAGGACCGATCCGGCTCGAACAACGGCAAGAACAATGGAAAAAAGGGAAGTGCCGCAGTGGCAAGAGTCGCGGCAAAAGCAAAGGACGAGGAAGAGGTTATCGAGGAAGAGGCAAAGGTAAAAGTACGAAGAGCAGGGGTCACTACGGCGAGTACGAAGAAGACGACTACGACGAGGAATGGTGCAGCACTCGCGGTAGTTGGAATGCAAAAGGAACCGCGCACAACAAGGACACGCAGTGGACAGCCTCGACGCATCAGGAGACGCCCAATGCAGCATCATGGTCTTCATTGCAGACAGTGCCCTCATACAGCCTCGACGATCCTGAATCACCAGACCTAGGACAAGGATTCCAAGACGGACCCTCGAGATCAACTCCATCCGCACCGACAGCAGCAGCCGGACCAACGACCCCACGACAAACATCGAGAAAACAACCAGAAGGAGTTCGGATCATATATGGGATTACCGGTTACTTTTGACGACGATGACCAATGCTAACCCAAACGACTTCCCAGAGGCATATGTTCCTGGCGGCTTGGATTTCTTGGTAAGAGAAGTACAGAACCTATGTTGTGACCAGCAGCACTCTACGACGGACTGCCACCAAGCGGAAGAAATTCATACGAGTTATCATTCCATTCGAGGTGCGGGAAGGTTTGGTTTGTTATGCGATCCTGGAGCATCGCCAGGTATTATTGGAAACGATACGGTTCGGGAATACCAGACAGAAGTACTCGGTGGTGCAGGCATCGAATCAAAACCAACAAGAGCTCAGTTCACTGGCCTAGACGGCAAACCCACTCCTGGCATTGGTAAGGCAGTGGTACCGCTCAAGATCCCAGCCGTGCGTGGCGCGACATTCACAGGATACATGATTGGCGGCATGGGAAGTTGGTGCCCAGGGCTCATGCCAAGGGCACCAACTCTTCGATATCGAGCGACCATGTTCGCAGCAGTATTTGACAATGGTGATGGTATTTTGGTAGTATTCCCTGAGACTCGACGACTTGGCATTGAGGCACCACCTGTGTACATGCGATTATTACCCACGGACTCTCGGCACTATATCATACCAACGGACAACCAACATATTCGAGAGGAAGTTGATCAACAGTGCCTTCATGGCATCATCAAGGACCACCTCCAGATCTTCTGGCAGTTTAAACCAATCCGCTCGGTTGGCCCATCGGCAGAGTTTCAAGTTGACGAAGCACCATTGGACACTAGCACCCGAGCGAAGTCTGCGAGCTTTGCAGGACATGGTTCGGAACTACCCGAGGCGGATATCATGAAACAGTTGAGTGACCCGGGGCAAAGAATTGACGATCTTCGGGAGCACATCATATCACCGACCCATCCAGGTACACACCATTTCGTAAAGGTAAAAGCCGAATCCTCGGTACACAAGTGTGACGACGACGACTGCTCCCCAAGGCATCAGTACCCGACGAGACGAGCCACCAGCACGAAGACACGACTTTTCTGGAAGACCTGGATCACATTCAAGGGTAAGAGTTATATTGCAGACGTTATCCCAGAAGGTCTGGATCAAGGCCAACAAGATCGCTTCAAGAAGGATCACCACGGCATTCCAGCAATATTTCATACCAAGACAAAGTTAGTGATGATCACGCCCCAGAATGCAGACAGCTTCCTGAGGCATCTCAAGGACAACAACGTGACGAGCGTGAACATGCAAGAGCACTTCTCTGGCAGCAGCACAGTATCCCTCTGGGCGTATCGAAGCGACTTCCCGGCACTCTTTCCCACGGACACTCGATATGGTTGGAACTTGAGTTCGAAGGAACATCAAGAAATCATCAAACGTTTCCAGCAGGCCATTCGAGTTCAGGTTAAGGTTTATACTCCAGAATATACCCCTTGGTCTCAGGCAAACCAGACGGCTGATCCTAAGATCAAAGCAGCGAATCGAGCAGCAGACGAATCAGCTTTTCAGTGGATCACGAACGAGAGCAAGGCTACTCACACCAACGGCGCCGACTACATCATTAAGAACCCGGCCA